GGAGGCCAGACCTGGTGCAGGGGGTGGGGGGGACGGTTAGCTCAGGAGGGCCTGGGTGGTGCCCGGGGGTGGGGGCTCTCAGGACAACAGGGTGCCACGTCAAGGGCAGCGGGAAGATAGGGGACGGCTGAGCCCCATGTGGGCGGCCGGGGCTTTGGGTCCCAGGGCCACATGGGGCCTCTGCTGCCCGAGCCCATCCTAGGCAGGGCCGGCCCTCGGGGCTCCCTCACCCAGGCCCTGGACCCCTCGCAGGGTGGGCTCCGCCTTGGCCTCCCGCCCTCTGCTGGAAGCTCCTTGGGGTGGGTGTTCAGGGAAAACAAGAGAAAAGGGTTGATTGGGTCCTTTACTTCTTTAGAAACTTTTAAAGGTTGAGAAATGAGTGCCTGTCCGACCAGGAATAATAAACCAGAGCAGGTGTGAGGGCCGGGCAAGAACAGCTGGGCCGTGGCTGTGCAGGGTCTGCCTAATCCCCCACGAAGCCCAGCGGGACATTTCCCGCCTGACGTGATGCAGAGCTGGAGTAATCGCCTGAGGGCAGATGGAGGCTGGCAGGCGGGCGGGCGGGCGGGGCTGTTAACCCTTCGCATGCCCACTTCCAACCACCGGCTGGGGCATCGCTCACGGCCCCCGGGGAGGGCCCGGCAGGCAAGCAGGCACCCCCAAACAGAGAACACTCTGCAGGCTTTCCAGGGCTCAGAGCCAACTGCCCACTGGGGACAGGAGCCCCTAGCTGAACCTCGGCGGGCCCCCACGTCCCCGGGCGAGGGTCGAGAGGTGACTAAGTCTCTAGTGCGTCTGCACCTCCACTTTCTTGACCATCAGCTGCTCTCCCAGCCCCGTGAAGGGGGGCCTCGCTTGGAGGAGCCACCGTGGAGCGCGCCCCCCCGGTTCCCTGTGGGCCTGGGTGAGGAGAGGACTCCCGGGTGCCCCGTGGGGCAGAGGACCCTCTGCAGACAGGGGCTGAGCTCTCTGGGAGAGGAGCCCGCCCGGGGCCAGGCGCCGGCTCCCGTCTGAGTCTGTGCCTGTGGCTTCACTCGCCTGCTCAGGGCCCTGCGGACCCCATTTCTTGGGGTCCCGGGGAGGCAACACGGTTTCCAGCTGGGTCCCAAATCCAGGCCAGCCGTGCCATGGCAATTAACTGACTGTTCTAATTTTGGAAATTTCTCATGGGCTCTCCGTGAGGGCTGCAGAAAGCCCTGGGGCTCACATCCTACTTGAGCAGGTCGGGAGAGCCAGGCGGCTTCTCTGCACCCATGCACCCTCAGGCTGACAGCTCTCCCCAATTTGTGTCTTGATTGGCACTTGACTCGGTGGCTCCCCAGCTCCCTAAGTCAGCACAGCCTGTTAGTACTGGAGGCTGCGCGTGATGCCCACATGGCTGGGGGCAAATGCCCCTGCCCCCAGGATCCTGGCCCTCGACCTAGACGGCCCCAGGCGGCCCTCCCCTGACCAGGCTGCAGGATGGGGTCCCCGTGCCCAGGTCAGGTCTCAGGAGATCCACAGCCCATGCCGTGCCCATGTGCCCACTTCACAGACTGGAAAACCAGTGACGACACGGGTCAGGGCCCAGAGCCACAGAGCCCAGAGCTGCGTCCCCAGGTCCAGCCCAGCCGGAGTCTGCAGGTTTCTAAGTCTGGTCTGTAGCCACCAGCCTCCTCTGCCTGACCATGGGGCGCCAAGCCACCACCCCGGTGAGTCTCTCAGTGGGCCTGTGGGTGGACAGGCCCGGGTCACATGGAGTTCTAGAGACCCTTGACTCACTAGGGCAGTGGTCACTCCAGAAGGGGAACCCCTATTTCCTGCCACCCGCTCCCTGGGTGCCCCCCTCTGCTCAGCTGCCCCAGAGAAAGAGCGAGGCATGAGTGGGTCTCTGGGCTCCAGCCCCACTCAGCTGGGGTCTGGCTGACCGGTCTCAGGCCTCCTCTCTGATTATGGTCGTCTTCTCAGCTCTGCCATCTGTTCTCCTGACCCAGGCCATGCAGAGAAGCACACAAGAAGCCACAGGCCACAGAGATGGGCTGTGGCCCCCATGCCCTGCCCAGGCTGCTGTGGGAACCTGCTTAGGGTCAGATGTGCTTGTGGTAATTTCAGCAGAATGGAGTCCCCAGGGGACGCACTTGTCCTAGGAGAGGTGGAGGCAGGAGGGCCCATCGAGGTCCCGCGGCTCTGACAGGACGCTCTCAGGGCCTCAGGAAAGGGAAAGGCTTAGCCACAGGGCCAGGGGAGCACCAGGGCCCCCCGTGCCGAGGGGACAGCCGATTGGACTGGTGGGTCACTTGGGTAGCTGAGCACCTAGTGGAAACCAGCAGGTTACCGTGCTGACCATCACAGAGGCCAACGAGCTCTGCTCCTTGAGAGGGTCCAGCTCTCTGTGCACCAGCTTGGCCATATGTTCCATAGGGGCAGGCAGAGGGCGAGGCCCACCAGGCCTCATGGGGGACTGGGGGACCCACCACGGAGCCTCACTACAGAGCGATTCTTGCTGGGCAAGGCCCCATCTCACTGGGACACATCCAGTCAGGACAAGATGCCACTGGGGGCCCTGGAGGGACAGCCTCGTGCTGCAGGCACAGGGTGAGGGGGGCGGGAGTGTGAGGCTGCCCTCCCCTGAGGAGCCCACCCGTCAGGACGGAGCACTGAAAGATGAGTTGATGCTTGAGTCGGGGCACCACGTCTCCATTTGGCCTGTAATTGTGGAAACGAAGTCCTGCTTCTGGCCAGGATGGAGTGCAAGGGGCTGGATTTGCCCTCCCACAGGTAAACAAGTAAAAACTGGACAAGATCCAGGAAACAGCAGCCCTCAAGACACTGGACATCAGGTGACAAAGGACGGAGAGCCCTCCGACCGCCCCAGCTCACCGCCTCGAGAGTTTCCAGCTGTGGCTCAGTGAGGGGACCCAGGCGGGTTGAGGGGTCCCCCTGAGGAGAGAGATGGAGCTGGGCGTCCCGGGAATCCAAGATGGCTAGGGTTCACAGGACGGAGCACTGGAGAGGAGAGAGCCCCGGAGTCTGTGGAGCACGGATCAGCACGTGTGGGCGAGGAATGTGCCCAAGGAGGGGGAAGAACCACCGAGAGGATCAGAGGGACTGCTGTCCAGAGCTCACACAGGGCCGTGAAAAGTGCTCGTTCCAACAGCCAGGCAGGAGACCTCGGAATTCACAGGGCATTGTTACAGCACTCACAAGGGTCTTTCCTTCATGGTGGGAATAATTAGCCCCATCTTAAATCCCACCTCACAAACCTTAAAAGCAAGACCCACAAGGATCAAACTGTTTCTAAGTAACTTAACAGCATCAAGAATATTTATAAGAATACAAAAATATGCAGCACCCAAGAGGATAAAATTCACAATGTCTGGCATCTGACCAAAGATTACCAGGCACCAAAGAATGCAGGAAAGTACAACCCATAATGAGGAGAAAAATCAATCAATCACCACTGACCCAGAAGCAACGCAGATGAGAGAATTGGTAGACAAGGACGTGAAACCGGTTATAACTGGATTCCCTGTGTTCGGAAGGAAAGAGGGAACATGGTACGTAGAGACATGGAGGATGTGAAAAGGAGGCGAATCCAACTTCTAGAGATGAAAACTACAACACACACCAGATGGATCAACAGCAGAGGAGACACACAGACAAGAAGACAAGTGAGCATGAGGACACAGCCAAAGAAACTACCCAAAATGAACCCCACCAAGGAAAACAGGACTGCACTTGCTGATTAAACTGCAAGAGACTTTATGGCCAAACGTACACAACACTGGAGGATCCAGAGTGGTGAGGGGAGGAGGAGATGGAAAAAATATTTGAAGATATAATGGGCAAAATTTTTTCAAATTTGATGAAAACTATAAACCCATGGATCCAAGACACTCACCGAACCCCAAGCACAAGAAACATGAAGATGAGGACACGAACCACAGATGAAGGGAGAACCTAGAACGTGATGTGCAGGATGGAGGGGGAGGCCAGCCCTTCTCCAGCTCACGGCCCCTCCCCACTCACTCCCTGTCCCCACCCCACCCCAGCCCAGCTCCGGAGTCGCCAGCATCCTCTTCTGCCGATGTAGACTTGAGGGGGATTCCCAGAGGAAGCCCGTTAGCTGTCCTGGCTCTGATCTCTCCCGATGCCTGGAGGCTCAGCCCAGTGCTGTGTACACCGTTGGTGCCCAATCAATGTTTCTGGGGTCAAACAGAACCCCCACCTCACACCACTGCCCAGGACGCACCTCCCACGATTCCACGGGCACCAGGCCCTGACCCTGAGGGTCAAGAGAACCGTCCAGTTGATGGGCGCCCCTGTGGCTCCTCAGCCAAGACTCCCCAACTCCTTCCTGGCTCTGACTCTGTTTTCTTGAAGCCCTGGGGGTTCTGTGAAAACTCTCAGGATTTTTGTAACCCCGTTTGTTTCTCTTACAGCTGGCAGCCTGACAGACTCTGGTTATTCTTAGTGCTAAATTATTTATCTGCCTTCCCTCCTCACCCACACTTCAGAATCTTTAACGTGGCTCCTGGGTCTGAGCCAAGGCCCATTTTCCCCGACTCAAAGTGAAGTAATTTAAAAATCTTTTGTCTTTAATTTTTTATTGCCCAAACCATGCACGTGGTATTTCAGTCTGGCAAGGGGTCGGACCTGGTGGGTCACCACGCCCATGCCAGGGAGACCCTGGCGCTCTGCCCCCAGCTCGGAGGACAGGAAACCGCCAGCAAGGAGGGCAGGGGTGGGGAGCCCTCCTGGCTTCCCCTAAGTCCCTCTGTATGGAAAATTGAGGGCAGAGCCCAGCCCATCACACCTGGGGCCTCCGTGCCACCCAGAAAGCACGTCCGGTGGCTGGAGGACTCAGGGTGGCCGTCCACACGGCGCCAGCTCCCTGGTCCCCCCGAGGAAGCGTGGAGGAGGCGGAGGGCCTGACCCAGGGGCAGAAGCGAGGACGCAGGCCAGGGCTCAGCTGGGGGCACTGCGCCACGTGCTCCCACCTGCGCTTCCCTCCACAACAGAGTCCAAGTGGTCTTCATCAGGGACACAGCCGGCTCCTCCGGGCAGGTGACCCTCCCCAGTGGGCAGGCGAGGTGGGCCTATCACTCAGTGCAGCGGGAACCCATGTGGGTGGTGTGCCCCCCAAACCCTCTAGCCAAGGTGGGAACGCTGACCGGCTCGTCTGTGGCCTTGGGCAGGGGCTGCAGCCCCCTCGGGAAGCTGAGGCAGGGGCCTCTCATGGCAGCCATGGCCAGAGCGAGGGTCTCCGTCCCTCAGATGTGGGCCAGGCCCCTGGGGCCCCCGCCCCTCCTGTCTCCTCCTGCTGCCTCTTCTTTCCCGCCTCACGAGGTGACAATGGTCTCTAGTCCTCCAGGGGCACACGAGGGTGCCCCACAGCCCCACTCCCCCTGACCCCGGCTGCCACTTGTCACTTCTTGCTGGAAAATAAGCGCACTCCTACATCACTTCCCAACAGGCTCTGTGCAGCAGCTGTTTTCCGAACGGTTCCTCCGCTCGCGTGGTGAGGCCTCGGCGCAGATCTGACTGTAACTTATCAAAAGCTGCACCTCCGTTCTGCGCGAAGCAGCTGCGACTGTGGAGACAAGAGTGGGTCTGCCACACTCCGGCTCTGGCAGCTCCTCGGGCACGTCTGGGTTTAGACAGTGAGGCACTGGCCGAGGGGCAGGGAGCCGGGTCACAGGCCTCAGGGGGCTTCTCCTCCAGGTGCGGCAGAGCGGCCACACTGCCGCCTGAAGGTAGAGATGGGGCCTCGGAGGACGGTCATGCCTGCGCCTGCCCGAGGCCTGCAGGCGGGGACTTTGTGGTCACTGCATCCTCAGGGCCCCAGGAGCTGTGGTCCCCATCTGGGGGCAAGCCACAGGCAGGGGGGCCCTGGGCAGTGCACTCAGGAGCTTCCTTCTCTCCTCCTGCAGGCCTGACAGGGCGGCCACGGCAGAGCTGGAAGCAGTGACGTTCCCAGGTAGGCGGGCAGTGGAGAGACGTGGCTGAGCAAGGCCATCTCCAGCTGTCACTCCAGCATCCGAACGGGTCATTTATGTCGACCTCTGCAGGCACCCCCAGAGGCAGGACCGTGACGGCCCGGGGCCGGTGGACAGGGATGTCGACCGGCCCAGGGCCCTCCCAAGGCTCGGTCCCTTAGAACAGCTGTGGGCGCCAGGCAGGGTGTCAGGTTGGGGGACACTCGCCCATCCTGGGTGCCTCTTTGTTCCCTTGGCCAAGGAGAATGGCCCTGGTTCCTTGTCTCCAGGTTCCTGACTGGAAGGCCGGCGGGCTTCCAGGTCCGGGCCCTCTCTGCCCCCTCGAGCAGCTGGGCCTGTCAGCAGAGCCTGTGGCCCGCAAGCCCCTGCTGGCCGGCTGCCGCCAGAAAGGTCCCCCTGTGGAGGGCAGGGGGGGAGGTGCCTCCGCCTTCTCCTTTGCGCTGGCATCGGCCGTCCCTACAGCAGCCACACTGTCTGCTGACTGGCCAACAGAGCTGGCACTGTAGTCACCCCTTTCAGGGCCCCGGCACCCTCATGTGTGCCCAAAGAAGAGGCGGTGGGGGTGAGCAGACAGGACAGCCCCCTGCACTAGTCGGGTGGGGTGGCAGGGGATTGGCTGGACCCTGCCCAGCCCTGAGGAGAAGCGATTTCCAGGCTGTGAGGGGCAAAGCCAGGTGGATGGCCAAGTCCCCAAGATGCGGGCCAGGCCGGGCTCAGCGGGGAGCCGGGCACAGGGCTCACCACGGGACCACAGGGCAGTCGGGGATGGGCTTGGTGGTTTCTGAGGCCAGCAGGGTGGCCACCAGCCAGACCCTTTCCCATCTGCGAGAGAAAGGCCTCAGGACGAGGTCAGATGAGGGCTGGGGCTCGGTTGCGCGGCCGCTGCCCACTGAGCTCAGCGGGCTCCCCGGCGGCCCCCTGGCCGCGTTGGTGGAGCTGTGTTCTCGGGAACACCTAGAAACCGGCTGCTTGGAAACACTCGGCGTTGCTATGCACGGCTTTTCCTCCAGGCTGGCCAGGGAGGCCTGGTGGCCCGGCCGCGGAATGTGGGCCCCCCTCCCAAGCGCCCCGGCCCGGCCCCCAGCCCCCAGAACCGCGGTTTTCTCTGAAGGAACTGACTCAAGGCCGAGCAAATTCCTGGCGGCCCCCGAGGCCCTTTCTTGTCCTGCCCCAGGAATGCACGGTGTCCACGGCCCCTGGGCTGGCCTGGGGCGGAGGGAAACCACACAGCGAGGAGAGCGGCCTCTTTTCCAGACCGGGTGCTGGAATGTTCTCTCTTATGGTGCGAGCCGACTCCTGCGCCCCATTTCAGCTGCGGCCGCATTCCTGGTGTGAGCCCAGGCCAGCCTGGCGAGCTTTTTCCACGCTCCGGTGCCAGCCCCAGCGGGCTCGGGGAGGGGAGAGGACGGTTTCTATGGCGACCTCACTTTTTGTTATTTCTTATTTTCCTTTTTATGGTTTCTCCAACTTTGAAGCTCTCCAGACAGTTTACAGACTGCAGAGGGGAAAAGTGTTTTCCCTTCTCTCTGGAGTCCCCAGCAAGGCAGCCCCCCACCCCCAACCACTGCTTCCCACAGCCCACGGGCGGGGGCTTCAGAACCAACCAGACGACCTTGTCTTCAGAGGCTTAACTATTTTAAAAACTGTTTTAGAGGAAACAAATTATTTTTCTCCTAAAAAGAGAAGAAAGTATTTTCAAAAGAATCCTTGCCCGAGGCCCCATTGGCAGTGGGAGACTCTCCGCCCTCCCAGGGGGCTTTGACCAGCCCAGTTGCCGAGCTGTCCCTGTGTCCACCCCAACTCTGCCCCCAGGACGCTGGGGCCGTCACTGGGCCTGTGTCCTGAGCTTCGAGGTGGTTTCCTTCACCCAAAATTCATTTATTCACCCACACTGACTGTGCGCCCGGCACCCAGGGAAGATGGTGGCCACTCCCACAGGCCCAAGAAGAAGGCCTGGAGCCCCGAGCGGGGCATGGAGGCACGGTCTTGGGGTCCTGGGGTCCCGGGGTCCCAGGGCAGGCGGGGCAGGGCCTCGTGGGGAGTGAAGAGCTGGGGCTGGAATCTGTACCTTTTCAGCCCAGAGGAAGGGGGGGGGCAGGCGCAGGAGCCTGGGCAGCAGTGGCCGCTGGGGGCTGCGTCCAAGCATCTATCTCTTGCAGGGGAGTACGTCGTCATGATCCGTGACGTGACTACCCCCCCGTTCCTGGGCCGCACGCTGCCCACCGCCTTCAAACACCTTCGGATCTCTGCGAAGGGGGCCAGACAGCAGCCCTGCGTCCCTGGAGAAGGCCCAGAGGCCCCCAGCTAAGAGGGCTGCCCCTGGTGCACACGAGAGTCACCAGCCCCTGGGGATGCAGCAACCCCTCGGGAGACCGCCCTCCATGTGAATGGAAGGAAACACCGCCTCTGCTTCCGGGGGGGCCGTCCTCCACCTCCCCCCGCGGGCTGCCTGCCCTGTGGCTGCCGGCTTTAATAAAAAGCTTGACACCAACTATCGAGTGGTACCTCACCCCGACGGGGAGGCCCTTTCCCACACACCCCAGACACATGTGCAGGCTCATCTGGCCACCCCAGGACCGGGGCCTGCAGTGGTCACTGGAAGCCCGTCTCAGCTGCCACGTCTGCCCCACCCACCCTCTCCCCAGGGTGAGCCCAGGCCAGGCTAGGGAGAGGGCAGTCCTGGTCCCCTGCCACAGAGTCCTGCAGCAAAGCCGGCTCAGCTGACCCCTCAGCCTCCGCCCAGCACTGTCCAGAGCCTGGCTGGCCAGCGCCTACTTCCTCCCCACCATTCCTACCTAGGAGAGGGGCACAGGGGCCCACGGGCGGCCTGGGGAAGTCGGACCCAACTCCCAAAGGAGAAATCAAGAGGCAGCGAGCAGGTGACTGGTTTTCCGGAAATGGGCTGCGGGTCTGCAGGGATGACTTCTCTTCTCGGATTTCACAGCTGCCTCTGAAATGCACCCACGGCCACTGAGCCAGGCCGGCGGGGATGCCAGTGGGGGAGACGCCAGGAGGCCCACTGGCAGCCAGACCTGCGTCTACCGTTCCCTCCACTCACGGGCTCACCACCTTCCAGAGACCCTGGTCCAAGGCCGCGCCCTGGGGCTCACCCCTTACCTGCCCGCGTGCTGGACGGGCTGGGCTCACCCCTCTGCCTAGAAGCCCACCACCTCTTCCCCATCGTCTCAGCTGCCCACCTGCTTCCTCCTTCCTGCAGAAATGAGAACTTGGGGGGTGGGGGTTCATCCGGAACCCCCAGCCTCTCGCCGGCACAGTCACCCCTGGGCCCCAGTGGACCATCCGAGCCCCCAGCCACGGAGCATGCTGCTACTCCTGTCCTAAAAATTCTACTGACCCCATGCCCCTCCATCCAGCACCCATTTCCCCCCCACACTTGCTGTCTATACCCCTCCCCAGCCTCCCGATGAGAACGTCACCATCGGTGCACACGGCAGGGCCACCTCCCCTCTCTACACCGATGTTCCTCGGGACACCACTGGCTGCCCTGGCACTGCCCCCCCCATCTCCCTGACCGCCTGGCACTGGGACCCCAGGCTCACTCTCCACCTCCCTGGTGCACTCACCCGATCCCTGGTCTTGGGCAGCGACCCCTGCGCCTTTCTGCGGCCGGGCCTCTCCCGGCTCCAGACCCGTACAGCCAGCTGCAAGGCCCAGGGTACAGCGATGCCGGGTCAGCCTCCCTAGGGCATCAAGGGCACTTCAGACTTTACACACCCCAAACTGAGCTCCCGCTCCTCCCCAAACCAGCTCCTCCTGCTCAGCTGACGAGACCGTGACCCTGTTGTTCAGGCCAAAATTGTTGGCATCTGCCTTCACTTCCTTCTTACTCTGTAGTCCACCAGCAAGCCTCGTTGGTCCTGCCTTCAAAGTTCATCTCCAGCTTGAGCCCACCTCACCATGCAGCGCCCCCACTTCCGCCATGCCCTGCAATCTCGTCCCTGCACAGCAGGGATCAGCAGGTCACACCCCCGAGTTGTCACCAGGACCTCAGGCCCAACCTGAGCTGGTCCACACGGCTCGCTGCCCTCACCTACTGGCCCCCGCACCCCCTGCTCTCTGCTCAGGCCACACTGGTCCCTGCAGACTCTCAGTCATGTCAGGCAGGCTTCTGCTTCAGGGCCTTTACACAGGCTCTGCCCTCTGCCTGGACAGCTCGTCTCCTGGATATCACCTTCTCACAAGGTCTTACTTGGCCACCTGCTCCGAAGTCTCACCTGCCTCCAGCAACGCTTCCTATCCCCTTCTGCACCATGCATCGCACTTACTCATCCTGTTTGCAGTCAGTCTGTAGAAGTGAGGGGCCCACAGGAGGCCCTCAGCAAATATTTGCTGCATGAGTGGGTGAATTTGGAGCACTGACTCTGTGCCAGGCAGTACTGGAGGCACCGAGAATGAACAGGGCAGAGAACGTGTGCAGGAAGGACTGATGGCTGAATAGCTGGAAAGATGGGTGGGGGCTAGACAGACGGGTGAACGAAGGGAAGAAAGAGCATGTGGATAGATGGATCATAGGTGGGTAAATAAACAAAAGGAAAACTAGATGAATTGATGGAAGGGAGGTGGATGGATGGACGAGTGTGAGGGTGGGTGGCTGGAGAGATGGAAATATGAATAAACAGATGGATGAGTACATGGAAGGAAGGACGGATGGATGGAAGGATGGATGGAGGGATGGTGGGTGCATGGGCAGATGGGTGGAAGTGTGGATAAACCAATGGATGGATGCGGACATGGATGGATAGAGGGATGGAGGGATGGATGGATGGATGGATGGACAGATGGATGGAGGGATGGTGGGTGCATGGGCAGATGGGTGGAAG